GCGGTACTGGAGCTGCTGGGCTTGGGGGTGCTGCAATAGCTGCAGGAGCTGGAGCTGCTGGAGCTGGAGTTGGTGCTGCTGGAGCTGGAGCTGCTGGAGCTGGAGCTGCTGGGGGTGTTGGCGCTGGAGGTGCTGCTGGCGCTGGTGCGTCTGAGGGTGCTGGAGTTGGCGCTGTTGGAGCTGGAGGTGCTGCTTGAGCTGGTGCTGCCGCTGGGGGTATTGGTACTGTCGCTGCTGGTTCTGGAGGCGCTGCGCGGCCGCGGTTGTACTTCGTTCTGCTCCTGGAGCAGGTTCTTGGTCTCCTGCCCTCTACTGGTCCTGCTCCTCCCTTAGAGTGTCCACAGCCTGTCCACTCGCGGTCACAGTTATTGCATGCCTCCCCCGTACCTGCTCCTTCTCCCTAAACTGGTCCTACTGGAGGTTTTGCTGAGCGTCGTGAGCCTGCGTCTCGTCCTGCGTCGCGTGCTGCTCGCACTAGTAGTCGTGCTCCGCGTCCGCGTCCTCCTGCGGTCCTAGGAACACACCAGATGGCACTGCGTCCTTCCACTACTCCTCTGCGTGTCCCGTTGCCGTCTCCTCCAGAGTCCTCTCTTCCTGTCCTTGCTGACCCGGAGTCTGACTCTCTTCGTGCAGCCAGTCCTACTGTCACGCGTCTCCTGGCTATTGTTGTCACTGACCCTTCCTTTGAGTCCACTGCTGCGTCTGCCTTAGTTGCTGAGCTTGTTACTGAGTCTGAGTCTGTCTGTCCTCCGTCCGTCGAGGGTGAGTGTGCTCTTAGCACGGACGTCCTTGAGGACACGCAGGAGGAGTTCTTGTGTTTTGCTGCTGCTTTGCCTCATCTCGTGTCCACGTTGATTGCCCCTGAGGGAGACCCGGATGCACCAAACATCCCGACTCCTCGATCGTACATTGAGGCGATCGAGGGTCCCTACTCCTCACAGTGGCAGTCAGCCATGGACGCAGAGATGGCTTCCTGGAAGTCCACAGGCACCTACGTCGACGAGGTTCCCCCACCTGGGGCGAACATCGTTAGTGGCATGTGGATTTTCAGGGTGAAGCAGCCGCCGAGTTCTCCGCCTGTCTTCAAGGCGCGTTACGTGGCTCGAGGCTTCAGTCAGCGGCAGGGATTTGACTACTTTCAGACCTTCTCTCCCACCCCGAAGATGACCACTCTTCGGGTGCTACTGCACATAGCCGCTCAGCGCGACTACGAGCTTCACTCTCTTCACTTCAGGACAACTTTCCTTCAGGGCAGCCTGCACGAGGAGATCTGGCTGCGCTGCCCACCTGACTTCACTGGGTCGTTTCCCCCTGGTACCCAGTGGCGCCTCCGGCGGCCAGTCTACGGTCTTCGCTAGGTGCCCCGTGAGTGGCACGACACACTGAGGACTACACTTGCGACTCTTGGGTTTGCTCCTTCTACTGCCGACCCGTCGCTGTTTCTGCGCACCCACACCTCTTTGCCGCCGTTCTACATCCTCGTGTACGTCGATGACTTGGTCTTTGCCACTGTTGACTCTACTCGACTAGCCCACGTGAAGTCTGAGCTGCAGAAGAGACACACGTGCAGAGACCTGGGTGAACTGCGTAGCTACCTTGGCTTGCAGATCACCCGGGACAAAGCACAGCGCACCATTACCCCGACTCAGTCACACATGGTGCAGCAGGTCCTTTAACGCTTCGACTTCACGTACTCGTCGCCTCAGGCCACTCCTCTGTCTACTCGCCACTCGCTCTCAGCTCTGCCTTCGGATGAGTCCGTAGAGCCGAGTGGCCCGTACCCAGAGCTTGTTGGCTGCCTCATGTACCTGGTGACCTGCACACGACCTGACCTTGCATACCCTCTTAGCATCTTGGCACGCTATGTTGCTCCTGGGAGACACCGACCAGAGCACATGGCTGCAGCGAAGAGGGTGTTGCGCTACTTGTGCAGTACGTCGGGCATGGGGCTAGTGCTTGGAGGGCGACGTCCAGTGGTCCTCACAGGTCACGCAGACGCTTCTTGGGCTGACGACCAGGCTATGCAGCGGTCGTCACAGGGTTACACCTTCAGCCTTGGTTCCGGCTCTGTTTCGTGGCGGTCCACCCGTTCGTCTTCTGTTCTCGGCTCCAGCTGTGAGGCTGAGATCTACGCGGGGGCCATGGCTGCACAGGAGCTACGCTGGATCACCTACCTGCTGACTGACCTAGGAGTGCCGCCTCGTTCTCCTCCAGTTCTGTACGTAGACAACAAGGCCATGCTGGCCTTGTGTCGAGAGCACAGACTGGAGCACAGAACGAAGCACATTGCTCTTCGCTACTTCCTTGCTCGTGAGCTGCAGCAGCGTGGTCAGCTGCGCCTTGCTTACGTGGCCTCTGAGGCCAACACTGCTGATATCTTTACCAAGGCACTTCCGCCTTGTAATCATCAGCGCTTCTGTACGATGCTAGGTCTTGTGCCTACTTGGCCACACTTGCTCACTTCTTGACGTTGCTTGTACTGTGATCCTTCTATACCTGCACTTGCTTGTTTACCTTTATGTATGATCTTGCATGTGAACTGGCCTTCTGGCCTCGAACTTGTGCTCGGAATGTGTGGTGACGTTGTGATCCACCCTGAGCTTGCTTTGCTTTGCTTGACTGGTCTTGTGACCTCTTGTTCTCCCCCACTTTGCCTATGGGGGTGAGTCAAACTCATATGCTATAGTATGTGTAGGCTGTAGTGGGGTAGACAATATGGGGTACAACACTTTTAGGTTTTCCTACTTGTACCCACCTGCTTGCTAGTTCATTCATTCCTCTTTTCTTCACATTTAGGACACATTATTTCAGCTGAAGGAGTGGCAATAGACCCGAAGAAGATCGCGACGATTCAGGCATGGCACGCGCCGACCAACTTGACGGAGCTGCAGAGTTTTCTGGGGTTCGTCAACTACGTGCGACGGTTCGTCCCCGACATGGCGAAGTTGATTGCCCCGTTGACCGACCTGCTGAGGAAGTGGGTTGAGTACACGTGGGGGGAGAAAGAGCAAGCTGCCTTCTCGGCCCTCAAAAATATTTTGTGCTCGCCGCCCGTGCTTCACATCGCCGATCCGCACCGTCCGTTCGAGCTCGTCACCGATGCTAGCGACATCGCTGTGGGAGCAATACTTTTGCAGGACTTCGGGAACGGCCTCTAGCCAATCGCGTACGAGTCCCGCTAGCTTCACCCACCCGAACGCAACTACCCGATACACGACCGCGAGATGCTGGAGATTGTGCACGCGTTCAAGGTGTGGCGATGTTACCTCACGGGAGCAGACGTGACAGTACGGATAGACCACCGATCACTACAGTACCTTCTCGCCCAACCGAATCTCAACCCGCGAAAGATCCGCTGGTTGGACTGTCTGGAGTCCAAGTTCCACTACACGGTCACGTACAAAAAAGGCGCATCCAACATCGCCGACGCACTCACATGTGAGAAAAATAGCGAGGAATCAAATCAACTAGGAAGCAAGTGGGTACAAATATGTAAACCTAATGAGTTGTACCCCATATTGTCAACCCCACTACAGCCTACAATATGGTTCTCACACACCCCCATAGGCAAAGTGGGGGACAAGCAAGAGAACAAGACAAAGCCAAGCTCAGGGTGGATCACAACGTCACCACACATTCTGAGCACAAGTTCAAGGTCACAAGGCCAGTTCACATGCAGATTATACATCAAGGAGAACAAGCAAGACAGTGATCGCAACCTAACAAGGGTAAGCATGCTGGTGCAGGTATACCTAGATCACAGTACAAGCAAAGTCAAGAGGTAAGCAAGTGAGGCCCGGTAGGTATAAGATCTAGAATAGCACAGAAACGCTGATGATCACAAGGCTGAAGTGCCTTGGTGAAGATATCAGCAGTGTTGGCCCGAGAGGCCACGTAAGCAAGATGAAGCTGGCCACGCTCCTGCAACTCTCGAGCAAGGAAGTAGCGCAGAGCAATGTGCTTCGTTTTGTGCTCCAGTCTGTGCTCCTGACACAAGGCAAGCATGGCCTTGTTGTCGACGTACAGAATTGGAGGAGAACGAGGCGCCTCTCCCAAGTCGGTGAGCAGGTAGGTGAGATAGCGTAACTCCTATGTAGCCATGGCCCCAGCGTAGATCTCAGCCTCACAACTGGAGCTGAGAACAGAGGACGCCCGGGTAGACCGCCACGAAATAGAGCCGGAACCAAGGCTGAAGGAGTAACCCTGTGACGACCGCTGCGTAGCCAAGTCGTCAACCCAAGAAGCGTCTGCGTGACCAGTCGTCTCCCAGGAGCAATATAGCGTGCTATGATGCTAAGAGGGTATGCCAAGTCAGGTCGAGTGCAGGTCATCAGGTACATGAGGCAGCCAACAAGCTCTGGGTACGGGCCACTCGGCTCTACGGACTCATCCAAAGGCAGAGCTGAGAGCGAGTGGCAAGTAGACAGAGGAGTGGCCTGAGGCGAGGAGTACGTGAAGTTGAAGCGTTGAAGGACGTGCTGCACCATGTGTGACTGAGTCAAGGTAATGGTGCGCCGTGGTCTGTCCCGGGTGATCTGCAAGCCAAGATAGCTACGCAGTGCACCCAGGTCTGTGCACGTGTGCCTCTTCTGCAGCTCCGACTTCACGTGGGCGAGCCCCTCGGTGTGAGGAGTGGCAAAGACCAAGTCGTCCACGTACACGAGGATGTAGAACGGCGGCAGCGAAGTGTCGGTGCGCAGAAACAGCGACGGGTCGGCAGTAGAAGGAGCAAACCAAAGAGCCGCAAGCGTAGTCCTCTCTGTTTCGTGCCACTCACAAGGCGCCTGGCGGAGACCGTAGACTGGCCGCCGAGGCAGGGAGGGGTGACCAAGGCGGTGGTGCCAGAGGAGAGTCTTGTGAGACAGGAGGCGACACGAGCAGGGGGCAGACTCAGGACCATACCGGGACATTGCAGCAAACACCTGACCCGACGCAGCTGCCTGACTAGACGCAGAAACAGGAGGAGACCCGGTAGTCAGGGTGTACAGGCTCGACCCAGGCTAACGGATGAACGTGGCCAGGTGCCGGCCCGTCCGAGTACACGAACAGTGGGTCACCCGCTGACCTCCGAGAGTGAACTGGTCAACCCACGCGTCCTGAAGGTCAGCTCCACTCACCAAGTTCGTGGGGAACGAGGGGAGGTGGAGGCTAGACAGAGAGCCAGACGGGACCGCCGGACACGGCAGGATCGTGGAGGAATGTGCAAGGACCGGACCCCCAGAGGGGTCAGCCAGAGAGACTGCCACTGGCCGACTGAGCGGCGAGAGTGTGGTGCAGTTGCGAAAGAAGGAGCGGGAAGCACCCGAGTCAAGGGTGAAAGTGTGCAAGGCCTGAGCTGACGCGGTACCTGAGAGAGCACCCTCACCAGCATCTGGAGCAGCAGACTCACTAGCACCTAGAGCAGCAGCCTCAATGCCCGGGTCGGGCGGAACACACAGGTAACAGTCACCCTCGGCACTAATAGTCACAGCATACATAGCAGCAAGGATAGCATCATAATCAAGATCAAAGATGGCAACCCCCGACTTAAGCAGATCACCCCAGCGAGGGATCTCAGTGGAGTCAGGAAACTATGTACGCCAGGCGTCAGTCAAGCGGCCGAAACAGCGGAGCATGGCGTGCGGGCCACCGCACGTCTCTCCATTGCGGTCGCTGGTGCGGAGAACGTACGTGCAGGGATCGGCACCCTTAGACCTCCCACGCCCAGCGTACCACTCACGAAGTTGCTGGGGCGACAGGGTCTCACGAGAGCGCTGCTACTGCTGGCGCTGACCACTGCCAAAGCCTCCCCGCTGCACAGCGCCACCCTGACCAGCACCACCGCCGCCGCCACCCCCACCACTGCCGCCGCCGCCGCCACCTCCACCCCCACTGCCGCTGCCTCCGCCGCCTCCACCTCCACCACCGCTACCGAAGCCCCCACTCCCTCCACCACCCTCACCTCCACCCCCACCCCCTCCGCCTCCTCCACCGCCACCACCGCTGCCCCCGCCATCCCCTCCAGCACCCTTGCCCCCCTTGCTCCTGCCGCTGCGGCGCCTCTTACTGGGAGCAGACGCAGCGCCGACCGACTCAGTGCCAACGAGGTCGACAGCAGCAGCAGAGGCAAGAGAGGGCAAAAGGGGGACAGGGGAGCACCCCTCAAAGAAAGGGGCAAGAGGGTCACCACGAGAGGCTCCTACAGCGACTATACTCTTCTCAGCTGCAAGGAGGCGCTCCTCGAGGAGATCAATGGTGAGTGTGGTGGGGCAAAGGGAGAGGAAGTGGTCCCTGACTGAGCGAAGGGATTCAGGGAGCCGGGTGACGAGGTAGTAGAGAGTGATGTACATAGGGGGGGGGGTTCGCAGCGAAGAACTCAGCAGGAAGCGCAGCTCGGTAGCGGGTGTCACTAGTGCGGAGGTGCGTAATGAGGTCAGCGACTGTTGCAAACGCAGCTAGGTCCGGGGACAGGTACGACAGCATGAGGCGGCTAAGGGCAGCAGTGGCAGGGGAGGAGTAGCGCGCAACAACAGCGTCGTACAGTCATCATTGTGCTATCATTCTACTTTTCAATTATCAATGCAAGGTTTCTATCTTGTTCTTTTCTACAAACACGTTTCCGCTACGCTGGCACTATGCCTTTCTAGCATAGAAAGTATAAGCATACAAGTTTAACCTACAAGTTTAACCCCATACAAACGTATAAGCATTATATATAACACAACACTAAACAAATTCACAACCTAAGCCTATAGATAGGCAGGTTCGAACCCGACCCACCACCGGATGGGTCAGGTAGGCCCATTAGATTCCCAAATCCGACCCGAGTTGACCTGACCCACCCGGTATTCGGGTCGGGTCGGGTCGGGCCAGGCCTAGAAGGATTCTCATGCCTTCGTGTGGTGCACGTTGCTGCGACTGTTGAAGAGATTCAATGCAGTCACATTTGAGCCCGGCACCATGTCTCCATATAGCTCCAAAGCTGCCAGCTTTGACTCGTTCACCCACCCCAGGTCCATCTCCTGGTCCTCACAGCAAAACATAGTACACTGAGCACTAACCTCTCACCCCATGCTGTCTAAGGACAAATGGATGGTTGTCAATGTATTTTACTATATTGCTCACGTCTCTGTAACTAGGACAGATTAGCGTCGTTACGCATAAACACGTCGTACTCCCCCGACCAGTCCTTCTTGTGATGAAAATTGCTGCGCCTGTTGAAGAAATTCAATACAGTCACGTTCGATCCTGGCACCATGTCTCCATGCAGCTCCAGTGCTGCCAGCTTCGACTCGTTCACCCACCCCGGGTTCATCTCCCTGTCCTCGCGAAAAATTTCGCCCTCACTGCCCTCGATGTCGATCTTGAGGAAGTCGAATCCGGGCAGCCCGAAAACTTTGAGGAGGAAGGGCACAGTCACGCCAAGAGGGGAGTCCTCCACAACCTGCCCGGGCTCGAGCTGGAGGGGGAAGAGGTATAAGACGAGAAAGAGAAAAGACACATCGCCAGTCTGGCCTCTCGTAGAAGAATGAATGGCAGCAGCATGTACGAGCAGCATGTGCCTGGCCCATTTGTCCACGGCCATCGGGTGCAGCAGGCACAATGGCAGTGGAGAAATGGGCTGCGGTCATGCTGCGCAGGAAGAAGACTCAGTGGAGGAAGGGACGATGCACGATGCAGGAACCCCACCACAAATGCCACTCACATCGCGTGCCATCTGAGCATGAGGGCCGAATCAGGGGGTAGCTTGGGGTTCCTCTGGCCGAGGTTGAGCGAGAGACAGGTGAATCACATGCTACAGCCAACCAAGTCCCTCACATGCTACAGCCAACCATGTCCCTTACATGCTACAGCCAACCATGTCCCTCACATGCTACAGCCAATCATGTCCCTCACATGCTACAGTCACTAGGAACCCCACTGCCTGTGCCACTCACATCGCGTGTCTCCTTGACCATAAAGGCCCATGTGACCCATGTGACAACCAATACTACCAACAACAATTCCAGGCACAGATTACAGCCACTCCTGCCACCAAGCAAGCACGCCACTCACATCGCGCGTCTCCTTGACCATGAAGGCCCACTCGGGGGGCAGCTCGGGGTTCCTCTGCCCGAGGGTGAGTGAGAGGGAGGCGACCCACATTCCATAGCTACTGATGCCACCCAGAATGCCACGCACATGCTACAGCCACCACGTCCCCCTCACATGCTACAACCGGGTATCCTCATGCAACTCACATCACGAGTCTCCTTGACCATGAAGGCCCATTCAGGGAGCAGCTTGGGGTTCCTCTGCACGAGGGTGAGTGAGAGGGAGGCGACGCGGGGCCACAGGGCAGCGTTGACAGCAATGATGTTGGGGAAGGGCTGGGTGTTGAGCTTCAAAGAGCGGAAGTTGCGAGACGACGCCTCCACACTGATGATCATCGCCTTGGGGTACCTCATGGGGGGAGGAGTGGTTGTTGGGAGATGCAGGGTTAGGTTTTATGGCGCAGGTTTTACATGGTTCTGGTTTATGGCTCAGGGTTGAAGGTCTCAGGGAAGCAGTTGAGGTGAGTGAGAGGGAGGCGACGCGGGGCCACAAGGCAGCATTGACAGCAATGACGTTGGGGAAGGGCTGCGTGTTGAGCTTCAATGAGCGGAAGTTGCAAGACGACGCCTGCACAGTGATGATCGTCGCCTTGGGGTACCTGATGGGGGGAGGCATGGTTGTTGGGAAATGCGGGGTCATAGTTTATGGCTCAGTGTTGAAGGTCTGAGTATAACAGTTGAGCAGCGTTGACAGAGATGACGTTGGGGAAGGTCTGTGTGTTGAGCATCAACGAGCGAAAGTTGCGAGACGATGCTTCCACACTGATAATCGTTGCCTTGGGGTACCCGATGGGGGGATCAACAGCAGTCTAAGTTTTGAGCTTAGGGTTCTAATTCTAAAGGTTTTGGGTTCAGGGTTCAAGGTTAAGGCAATGGTGTTGGGAAAGGGATGGGTGTTGAGCTTCAAATGGGTGGAATTTGCGAGACGGCGCCTTTATACTGATGATTGTTGCTTTGGGGCAACCTGATAGGGTTCCCAGGGGTTTGGCTTCGGTCTTTAGAGAAATACCCGCATAATCAAGTTGGAGGTCAAACCTATCAATGCATGGGTAGAAGGATAGAGTTGCTCGCATGGTGACGAAGAGAACAGAGGTGAGGTCGATGTTGGCTCCAGCATCAAGGAAACGATGGGTTATGGAAACTTACAAGAGTATGGAGAAGACAAAGACTCACATGGTGGCGAAGAGAACAGTGGTGAGGCCGATGTTGGCCCCAGCATCAAGAATTGAATCAAAGTGGAAGTGCGGCTTGAGAGAAGGGTGGAGTTGATGGAAAATTACACGATTATGGTGAAGAGACAAGCACTCACATGGTGGCAAAGAGCACAGAGGTGAGGCCGATGTTGGCCCCGGCGTCAAGGATGGAGTCGAAGTGGAAGTGTGGCTTGAGGAAGTTCTGCTCACCCCACTCGTATGCCTGCCGCAACACCAGCATGTCTGTGAAAAGTGGTGGAGGGGTAAGAGGCTAAAAAAATGTCACAGTATGTCATTTCACGTTAGGGGTAGGGAACAAAATGGTTGGCGGAAAAATGGGAGAAAAAAATCGTCACAAGAAACATTGCAAGCAGTCCCATAGGCTCCCCGCTCATGCATCTGCCACCATAGCATCGCCTTTTGAGGTGACGCTTGAAAGTGACTTTTGACGTGACTTTGAGGCACCTCAAAAATCGGCTCCACAATCGTGCATCTGCCAGCATTGTAGCGTGTGTCCACAGATCGTAGCAACGAGCTGAATCTGAATGCCAGTGGTGACCAGCTGATTCAGAAATGCATGACAAGGGAAGCAACAAACCAGCTAGATCCACTAGTGGTGTTCCTCCGCAAGTAGTACCCATTTACGCATGGCTGCTCCGTGCCACAACCCAGGTCCCCATTTACGCATGGCTGCTCCTTTCTGCACCCCAAATTCTCATGCTGCTCTCATCTCATTCTAGCCTACCAAGTGACTGGAACAAGATTGGGGAGCCCAGCGAACGCCTTACCAGTGGTGTTGCGGCGCAGGTAGTACCCATTAACGCATGGCTGCTGTCACAGGATCGAATTCTCAATCGAAACTTGTCACTAAAACTGAATACAAGGCATTTTTATACTCGGAAAATACAAGGATAAACGAGATAAAACGAACCTTTGGGAACACGCCCTTCCCGATACTACAATCACAAGTGCGCACAAGCACCCAAGGCTATTGGCACTTGGGATTACGCCCAGATTACACCGTATACACCACTGTCGGCACTGTCGGTGCCGTATAATAGGTATGTCGGTGGGAAAAGTAGGAAATAAGAGAAATAAATAGAAGGCTCTAGAAAATAGAATAGTAGGCCGATTGAGATGAGATAAAGACCAAAATAAAGAGGAGAAAAGGGAGAATAGGATAACGGAAAAATATAATAGTGAGAAAATATTATAACGGGGACGTCCTCTCACACTTCCCCCCCTCAAAGCTGGGTGGTAGAAGTAACACCCTGCTTGACAAGGTAGTCCTGGAGAGGACGGCGGGCGTTATCCATGTCGTGTTCAGGTACCCAGGTATCCTCGGAAGGATCATAGCCTTTCCAACGAATCAAGAGCTCCAATGTGCCGCTACGTCGTCGTCAGTGCACCAGAACGGCTTCGACTTCGTACTCGGGTTCCCCATTAACGATCACTGGCAGTGGCGGCGGCGGCTGGCGACCTTTGAAGACCGTGTTTGGGTCCCGATAGGGCTTGAGAAGTTGAACATGGAAGGCATTGTGAATTCTCCAGGTAGCTGGTAAACGCAAGCGGAAGGTTACTGGAGTGACCTGCGCCTCGACGAGAAAAGGTCTGCAGAAGCGAGGTCGGAGCTTAGACGGAAGATGGCTAATGTCGAGATTGCGTGTATCCAGAAGCACTTGATCGCCAATCTTCATGGAATGATCGTTGCGACTCCGATCAGCGAGCTTCTTTTGTTGCTGCTGGATAGTCAGAAGACGTTTATGCGTGCGCTCCCACAATTGGTGCATAGTGGTAATGAAGTCATGTGCGGGTTGCACCGTGGCGGGTACTGTTGGTTTCTGAGGCGTGAGTGGGTTGCGACCGTAACAGAGGAAGAAAGGAGTTTGCCCTGTTGCGGTGTGCGTGGCGTTGTTATACGCAAACTCGAGAACCGGCAGGTGTGCATCCCATTTAGAGATATCGTCCTTACACGCTGCTCGCAGAAGCTGTTTGACAATCTGGTTGAGGCGCTCTGTCTGACCATCCGTTTGGGGATGATAGGCTGATGACATAGCGAGTTTGGTCCCCATGAGCGACATGAGCTCCTTCCAGAATTTACTCGTGAATTTCGGGTCTCTGTCGGAGATCAGCGTGGTTGGAATGCCATGTTGCGAGATGACGTAGCGGAAGAATAATTGCGCTGTCTCCTCGGTGCGAGCCGTTGTGTGTGTCGGAATGAAGTGTCCCATTTTGGAGAATTTGTCGATGACGACTAGAATGGCGTCGTAACCAGCTTTGGTAGGTGGTAACCCGGTGATGAAGTCGAGGCTAACCACTTGCCAAGGCTGTTCAGGGACTGGAAGAGGCTGTAGTAACCCTGCTTTCTTCTGTTTGCTGCTCTTCATCCGTTGGCATGTGTCGCATGAGGTGACGAATTTTTGTACGTCATCCGCCATGTGGGGCCAATAATAATGCTCCGCAATACCGGCAAGCGTCTTGTTACTACAGAAGTGGCCCGCGTAGAGAACATCATGATATTCTTCGAGCAGTAACTGGCGTAAAGGAGGGTAATTAGGTACCCATATTTTTGTGGATCCCTTGCGGTATGCGATGTCTTGATCCCAATGTAGAAGATGGCGCTTTTCTGCTACAGAGACTTCAAGGTCGATGGTGTATCCATGCGTGAAGAGTCCCTTCAAAAGTGGGTTCATGCCATTGACTTGTAGGGCGGCAACGTGTGCAGGGCGACTGAGTGCGTCTGCCTTGTTCTTGTGCCCCGGCTAATGGAAGTGGGTTTCGAGAAAGTCAATCCACCGAACCTGCCGCCTGGAGAGTGTTGGTTGGGTCTTCAGATACTTGAGGCTGCAGTGGTCGGTGTAGACGGTCGTTTTTCTTCCTTCGAGATAACACCTCCATGCCTTAAATGCGTTGACGATGGCGAGGGCCTCTTTGTCATAGATGGGGTAATTGAGTTCTGCCCCGTGAATTTTTTTACTGAGGTATGCAATGGGTTGCAGTCCCTTCCCTTGGTCCTGCATGAGTACTGCGCCCACTGCTTGATCGCTAGCATCGGCCTCGATGACATAGTCAAGTTCAGGGTCTGGCAGGATAAGGACAGGTGCGGACGTGAGTGCGGTTTTAAGTTGTTCCACGGCTTCCTGGTGCTTCGCCTCCCATTGATATGGTGTATTCTTCTTCAACAGGTTTGTTAATGGTGCGGCAATCTTGGCGTAGTTCGGTACGAACCGGTTGTAGTAGTTGGCGAATCCAAGGAACTGTTGTAACTCCTTCACGTTCTCAGGGGTCTTCCACGTTCGCACTGCTTCGATCTTCTTAGGATCCACGTGAACTCCTTGAGCGCTCACCATATGTCCAAGGAACTGGACTTTTTCCAACGCAAACTCGCTCTTGGATAGTTTCACGTAGAAGCGTTCTCGTCGAAGAATTTCAAACACCCGTCGCAAATGCTCAACGTGCTTCTTCATGTCTTTCGAGTAGATCAGGATATCGTCCAAATATACCACCACGCACTCGTCCAGAAGGGGCCGAAGGATGTGGTTCATTTCTGCCTGAAATGTGGCTGGTGCGTTAGTGAGTCCGAACGGCATCACGAGATACTCGTATGACCCATACCGAGTTCGAAAGGCGGTTTTGTGGATAGAGTTGTCTGCCATACGAATTTGCCAGTATCCCGATCTGAGGTCGAGCTTGGAGAATACCGTAGCACCGCGAAGTTGATCGAGTAAGTCGTCGATCCGTGGTATAGGGTATTTATTTTTTACATTCTACTTGTTCAAGGCTTGGTAGTCGATGCACATTCGCAGACTTCCGTCTGGCTTCGGAGTGAAGAGAACTGGAGCTCCGTACGGCGAAGTCGAAGGTCGAATCAGCCCTTTCTCCAGGAGATACTCTATTTGTTTTTTCATATCGGCAAGCTCTGTCGGGCTCAGCCGGTATGGTGCTCGGAACGTTGGCTTGGACCCCGGCTCTTCTACGATCTCGTGTTGATGTGTTCGGTATGGCGGTAGTTGATCAGGTAAATCGTCGGGGAGAACGTCCTGGAACTCTTCAAGATTTTTCTTGAGTGCTGGAGGAAGTTCCTGGGTCTGCTTCTCTCCGTTGTCTGCTTCGTTGACTATCGCCATGAATCCCGCCGTGGTCCGTTTGACGTCCTTTTCAAAGCGTGCGAGTGTCTCGACTGGAATATTTCCCGTGTCGTCCCATTTGGGAAGGCTGATTTTCCTCCCGTTGTTGTTGATGTTGGCCGTCCGGTTAACCTCGTTGATCTCGGGGTTGAACTTTTTAAGAAAGACTCTCTCGAAGATTACGTCGAGTCCTTTGGTATTTGTGACGGGGAGAGCAGGCTTCCATCGGAGGGGTCCAATCTGGAGTAGTAACCGTGTTTCCCCGTAGATAGGTAGCTTACTGCCATCCACCATCGTTGTAGAGAAGCTTGAGGACTTGATTTCACCTCCGAGTCGATCGATTGCCTTTTTGTCATATACGCTGTGCGACGCCCTGCTGTCCACGAGTGCTTGGAGGCGCTGTCCGTTGCAGATCACCTCGAGCAGGAGTGGTGAGCGTTGCTCGGAGTACCCAAAAATAGTCTCATTAATAGGATCATAGGGTACATCCCAATATTCAGTACACACCGTGGTTCCACTGTTTGCTCCTGGACAACCAGCTGGCCTGGGCTGCGTGGAGAAAAGCTCCTCTCCAACGCCAGGAGTAGAGGTAGTAACCGTACAGGTTGACCCTGAGGGGGTGGATCCGGTCGACGCCTGCGATCCACTGGATGCATCCTAGAGGGGTTTTCGGAGTTTTCGCAGCATCTTTTGAACTCCCAGCTGCCTCTTCAGTTGCTTCAGCTCCATAGACTTCTTCCCTGGGGAGTGGAGAGTCGTCTTGGGCTGGTTCCGGGAGAGGACGTTAACGCCGTGAAAAGGTCTACTCCTTTCCACACTCCTTATTTTTTTCCCCAGCTCCGTAGGCACCGGTACCACATCTTTAATTGTCTGCTTCCTCTGGAGTTCTCCCCGGAATTTGTTTATGGATCCGGACCCGCAAAAATCACCAGTCTTCATTAAAGCATCTTTGAAAGATAACTTTAACGAATTCTGTTTTTTTCCGGGGTCGAATTGGAGAGTTCCCGTCTTGGTCGAGTATGTTTTCGCGGAGGTTTTCTTTTCCTCGGCGAATCCCTCACACAAATTTCGGTCAAGGGGCTTGGGATTTCGCCCTTGATTCTCCAAATCTCGC